CTTCCTTGCAATATCCTTTATAATAAACTGATAAATATAAGTCAGTGTTTTCCTGAGTTGAGTGAACAGTTTTAGCAAATTATTGAGCCGGAGGAGGAAGGTCATAGGAACCCCCAATTTATGGCTAGTCAGAAGTACAGGAAGCCCAGATTGCAATTAGCATCTGAAGTAGGGGGCATTTTTGTGGGATGAGCTCTTAATCTATGGAGTGTGTGCTAACTCTGAGTAGTTAGAGTCCGAATTGAGTTAAACTGCATGATACCCAACCAACTGGTGTTCATGGAGAATTGCCTGGTGCAGAAAATCCACACACTGGGTGTCACAAGTATTTTGAGTAGTACAGAAAGTGTTTCCTTTTAGACATATAAGTACCCTCTTTGCTTGCTTTTATTTCTTTATTTATTTTAAAAGCATACTTTAAAAATAATTTAATAAAAAAACTGACACCAATATTATTCTAATTTCTGTATAGACTAACAGAAGTACCTTAAAGATGGAAGTATAAACAAAAACCCAAATTTGAGAATTTCCTCTTTTTCTCTGAATTTTAGGCCTTTTTTAAAGATTTCAGGATATTATGAGGGAGAACTGACTTTTCATCTATTGCCAAACATTGCGCCCCCATGTATTAAATCAATATGCTCTGGTGTGTTTAGAAATTAGCACATGAATAATGAAAAAGAAACATTATAGTTCAGTCCACCTTGCAAAAAAACCTATGTCTGCAATAACCAATGTTTACAAAGGTCCTGAACAAGTCCCTAACAGAATAGGTATTCAATAAATGGTGCTTGCCATTTTTAACATCATCACATAGTTAGAGTCATTAAAAATAAGCAATGCAAATACTACCCAGAAAAAAACATCAAATACCACTGAAGTATTAACAGAAACAAAAAGGGCTCTATAATATGAGTGACAAACATCTAAAGGTTTTTGAATTTAGTAAAACAGCAGTATTGAATAACAATTGTGAAAATATCAAGGAAAGGCTTCCCAGAGGCAACAAACTATGAATCCAGTCTAGGAAGATGAGGAGCGGAGAGAGGGAAAGATACCTGCAGAGAACTGCAAGCAAAGGAAACTGTATGTGTAAAAATAAAATGGAAGTATCCAGCTACACGATGCACTCAAAGACCTCCAGTCTGTGGTGCTAAGGGGTATGATGAAGGAAATAGAGTTGCCCAACAGGTAACATGGAAGGCCTTTATGTCACACAAAGGAATAAGCATGTAATTGGTAATAAAAAGCTAAACGATTCTAGTCTAAGCTGATATTAACTGAGAAACAGGTAAACTATGACATCTGAGGTCTTGGGAGAAAACAGATCATCCTGGAATGACTGAAATCTACAGTCAAACTTATTTAACTCTTATTTAACTTATTAACTGAACCTTGAAAAATTAAGACAGAAACAAATCCAAAATCATCTTACAGATAATGTTTACAACATTAATGAAGAAAATTACAGAAGACATTTACAATCAACATTTTGAATCTCTGATATTCAGGGGGGAAAATTACATCCAGCTCCCATGTGTAAACATCCAGCAAACCTGACTTGATATAGTCCTGTGTTTTCTCCTCCAAGCTAGTTCTTAAGAAAAAAAATCTGCTTCATAAGATCACATTTGGTGACTGAGACAAAAGACAAAAAGCAAAAGACAAAGCTCTGTGGCTCATTTCTGTTCCTTCTGTTTGTTTGTTTGTTTGTTTGTTTGGTATGTCCTTTCTTATTGATTCCTATCTTTTCCATCTACTCGTAGATATTTCCCAAGTTTCTAGCCCGAGTCGTCTTTTCTTTCTTTGCATTCTTTTTCATATAGGCCCTTGTGTACTGTCATAGTTTAAATTAGCACATCTTTTTGGATGATTTCCACCATCCATTTATTTATTGAACATTTCCTGGTTGGCTATTTTGTACCTGGCGCTGGCCTAGGTCCTGGTAATACAAAGAATAATACACTGATTGCCCTTAATCCACTTGTAGACCAGCGCATAAAGCAGACATGTAAACAGACCAGCCATATTCTTATGTGGTATATTTCTTAACAGAGATGTGAACACAGATATGCCAGAGGTCTGTGGATGCGAGAGGACAGCTCTGCCTAAGGGACCTTATTAAAATTTCTTATACTTTTTGACATTTGAATTACAGTTTGAAAGGAGAGTACTTTTGTCTTTCTAGTCATAAAATTTTACTTCAAAACAATACCAGATGTTTTTCTCATGTTAATTGTTCAATAAGTATTTATTCCATGCCTACTGTATGCCATTTACCAGGTGGCTACATACAAGAGAAGGAAAATGAAAAAATGAAACTCATTTCATTTTAAAAGTACCTACTATTTGTCAGACACTATTCTAGGTGATTATAGCTCATTAATCTTTACCAAAATACTTGCCCTATTTATAGTTGAGACCCCTAAAGTTCAGAGGCAGTAGGTAAAGGATCTAGGATGTAGACCTCAATCTGACTTGAAAAGCCCATGTTCTTACCAGAATACTGTGAATGTAAACATAAATAAGACACAATCTCTGCCCTCACCAGTTTAGACTTGGGAGGAATACATGCTTCTCTATTCATTTAAACACAGTTCTCTTGCCTAAAATATTCTCCTCTCCCCTGAATTGTCATTTGTCAAACTCTTCTTTCAAACTGCAATTCAAATGTCAAAAATTATAAGAAATTTTAATAAGGTCCCTTAGGCAGAGCTGTCCTCTCGCATCCACAGACCTCTGGCATCTCTGTGTTCACATCTCTGTTACGAAATAGACCACATAGGCCGGGCGCGGTAGCTCATAAAGGTACAGAGCCCAGAGACTCAATGAGAAAATGAATGAGAAGCTGAAACAGCAGCAGTAAGGAAAGAGAGCCATGCAAGAAAGTTAAGGTGGACAATGTGATCCCTATTAAATTTCCCCTGCTTCCAAAAATTATTACTTAGACCACGAATCTTCAGGATCCATTTCAAACCTGATCAAAAAGGATCTAAAACTATGGTAAATACATCTAGAATTCTTAATAAGCTGCAAGCTTAATGTTCACATACATTATTAACAAGAAAACTCCAAAAAACAAAACACATAATCCAGTCAACTAATTCCCAAGAACTCATACAGATAGAGACTCCTTGACATTTTCTGATTTAAAATTGAAAGACTCAAGAACTACAAGCTTGAATTACTGAGATAGAGTCAAAATGGTAAGACATTGTCCAGCAGAGTTTGCATGCTCTTAGGAATAAGAACAAGGTGTCTGAGTCTAAGGCTCACAGGGTTCCTTGTAGAGCAGGAGCAAGGTCCTTCATAAAGTCTAATTATGCTTCTAGAACAGGGGTTGGCAAACTACAGCTCACAGGGCAAATCCAACTGTTTTTATAAATAAAGTTGTATTGAAACATAGCTGTGGTTATTCATTTACATATTATCAGTGGCTGCTTTCATACTGCATCAACAGAAGATAAGTAGTTACAGAACCACATGGCCCATAGAACCTAAAACATTTACTATCTGGCCCTTTACAGAAAAGGCTTGCTGACTCCTGCTTTAGAAGATTCCTATGCTCCCAAAAACCACTATAGGAAGATCTGCCTCCTCCTAGCCAAATGTTCTCAGTCCATTTGCTCCTAAAACCTGATCTTGCTTTCTCTGGAGGTTGTTCTGTTTCTACCCATAGTTTCATGTGCTGTGTTGTCAATACACTCTTATATACATTCCCAATTTCTTCTAACATTACATCTAGCTCATTTTCAGTGCTCTTTTCTCAAATTCTAATTTTTAATCTGTGTTGGGATATTTCTAACTAAATTTTAAGTATATTTGGTATAGATCAGAAATTTTTCACAAAGATAGACTACTTGAGCGAAACTCTCCATCTCAAGCTCTGCCCCTAGGAAACCCAATTAAACACACCATATTTAAGGAAAGTTTCTCTCATATCAAAACAATAACAATCATCTGTCTGTCTCTTATTCTTAAATCACTACCCTTTCTCAGTTTCCTTCATGAACTCCTTCACTCACTGTGGTATGGTTTCTGCCTTTTCTACCCCATTGAAACTGCTCTGATCAGTGTCACAGATAGCTCCATATTAGTCAAATCTAACTTCTCAGGAAAACAACTCACTGGAGCAACATGGTACTTCCTCCTCCTCCTTCAAATGCCCCCTTGTCTTGGTTCCAGGCATAACATTCTCTCCTGGTATTCCTCCTTTCTCTCTGGCTACCAATTCTCAGTGTCCTTTACCAGATCCTCTTCCTCTGCATACCCATTAAGTTTTGGTGTTCCTCAAGCTCCATCCTCAGGTGGTCTTATTTTATCTCTCTATAAAACACCAATTTATTCAAGTGCCACAGAGTTTACCCAAATCTCTACCTGTGGCCAAGATCTCACTCCTGAGCTCCAAATCCTAGTATCTAAAAGCCTTCTTGTTTTATATACCTATATGCCCCAAGGCATCTCAAACTCAACATGTCCAAACAAACTCATTAGCCTACCCTAACCTCTTTTCCTGTTCCCCTTCCAAGATTCTATCTTGGCAAAGTGAGCTACCATCCCCTAATTACCTGAGACTAAAATCTAAAAGTCATCATAGCTTCTTCCCTCTCCTTTACCTCCTACATCCAATCATCATGTTCTACTCTCTTAAACAGTCTTAAATGTATCCCCTCCTTGCATTCCCATTATAAAAAGGGTTTATGGCCATTGTGACTTTATCCTCTTTCCCTGAGACTCTTAATACCTAATTTTCTTGTCAATTTCCCACTAATTTTCCTTCATTCCTTTAAACACTCCTCCCTACCACCAGAATATTTAACATGCAAATCTGACTATGTCACCCTCCTCAAAATTCTTCAATGACTCCCCAGTGCCTACATGATAACAGCTGAACTCCCTTACACAGGAAGACATTTCATAATATGATGCCCACCCCTATCTCTCCATCTACCAGCCTGGCCCCATCTCTTGCCACTTTATATCTCTATCTTGCATTTTAATCTCCAAACTACTCTAATATGTATAGCTTTCCAAATCTGCCATGTTTCCTCAAGCCTCTATGCCTTTGTATATAACATTCCTACCTTTGTACATAATATTGCCTAAATTCATAAGACACTTATGTATATGCCCTAAATCATTACTAGTTTCTATAAGACATAGGATAAATATACTGAAATATTTTTAATAAAAAATGAGAATTTGAACAATAGCAATATCAAAATATGACTATTAATGATAATTCTTTATGGTTTATAAATATTACCAAATAAATGCCAGTACATTTCCTTAAAACATAACTTCCCTGCCTTCCACTTATAAAAACTGTACCACTGCACCATTAGCTTAATTCAAAGCAAAAAATTTACTTTGTATCACACATTGTACTTTAAAGGAAGAAATACATAACTAAGCATGATCTTAAAGAGCACCTAGATCATTTCAGGTACTTCTGAATTCTATTTTCAATAGTGGAGATAAATTTGTAGTAAGAGATACAGAAGCTTTTGCTGAGACTAGTGGCATATGGTTTCAGATGGCTAGTCAGGAATGTAACATATAATGAACCTAATTAATCTAGTGTGATTGTCATTAGCACAGTTTAGCAGATATATCCTGCCATTCCTATTCGTAGACACATTACAGAATTGTACTTCTTGGCCCTTTTATGGTTGGGTAAGGCCTGGTGACTCAATCTGGCCAATGAGCTATCAGCAGAAGTGACTCTATCACTTCTGGACTGAGGCATTTTAAATGTGGTCCTCTCTGACTATTTCCTTCTGCCACAGAAAAAAAGAATACTTCTGATGGTATCTGTTACATCCTGCTGGGGCTCTGCAGTGAAGCTAATGCAAAGGAAAGCCCCTAGATAATCTTGATGGGCAATGAGCATGAGCAAGAAATAAACCATTCATTCCAGACTATAACCTTGCCTACCATACAATTGTTCATCAATTTAGATGGCTCACAGAAACATACACTGAAACACCAATATTTTATGTCTGCTATAAGTGTTGTCAGTGGTACACTCAAGAGGTAGGAATAATAAATTTGAGTTATCATGTGATCTTGGCCAAACTATGACTCTCGGTCCTCATTTCTAAGAAGAATAGTAGTAATATGTGATATTTCTGAAGCACTTACAATGTGTTATCAATGCTGTAAGAACATTATCTGCATTATCTCATTCATTGCAATGACATCAAACCATTTCCAAGGAGTTAAGGAGGAATGAATTAGTTTTCTAGCAAATAATCCTTAAATATTAATTGGGAGTTTCCCAGCACAAATAAGCTACTCTACCCTTAAATGGTACATTCCTTATTTCAGACATTTCAATTTGAATTACAGAGATCTTAAGGCATGTTTAAAGCAGGCAAGAACCTGAAGTATTTGATCCCAGAGCTGGCAATAATGAAGAAGAAAAGAGGACTGTTAAAAATAGGCTTGTGTATATAACAATCTTAGGAAAATCTGATTATAGTAGTAGATATACCTTACCTACCATACTACTCTGGGTGGAGGCTCCAAAGACCTTGCGCTCCATCATTAAGTACCTTCCAAGTCTTTTTTAGGCTTGCCATGCAGGCCAAGAAACCAAACAGTTCTAAGAAATCCTAATTCCACTGGAATTGAGAACAATCCAAAATGATAGTGGTTATATAAGAGATTGGATTAAATATAATCTAGAATGATAGGTGCATATTTAAAGAATTAGAAGACAAAACTTTAAAACAATCACTCAAAGGAAAAGTTGTCAAAGGAAACAATTTAATGTACTAGACCAATTTCATGTGACCATAAGAAGTTTTGAAACAGCCATTGAAAATTAGGGATTAAATGTGCACTTTGATTTTTTTTGTTTGTTTAATTTAGAACAAGAGTAGTCACTCCTATCAGCACTTCCTTTATTCTTTCAAACTCAAGTTATTTCCTTCTTTCTGTGCGAATCTCTTCCAAAATACTCACCCATACTTCTATTATTTCCTTGCTAAAGTATTAATATCTCTGTATAAATATAAGTTATCTTAGTAAGTGTACAATGGACATGTTAGAAAATATAGAATAACTGTCCCTGCTCTCCACACTTCTTAAGTTATGTACGAGTTTACTTAGCTGTAAGTTAAGTGAAATAACCCTGTCTTGAGAGAAATTTAGATTTGGCTAACAAAGTACTTGACTGATTTATTTCCATTTTATCCTCTCAGTACATGTAGGTGCTCAACAAATACATGTGGCATAAATGAATGGGTCCCCAGTATCATAGCTTTCAAGTAGATATCAATACATCAAGAAGATTCCAGCCTGTTTTACTATAGGTTTAAAATATAGTAAAAAGAAGATAGAAGTGAAGTCCCAATGAGTAAAAATTTCACTTGAAAGCCATCTCTTTAGCTAGTCAGGTTCTATTTCACATTGTTTTACCTAACTGAGTCTAATTGTAATATGCACCTGTCAGCCTCCTTTACTCTTATGATTTTCTCTGGGCCAATCACTATGGCTGCATCAACTAGTTCCCAGTCAAGCAAGGCAATATTGCAGGCAATATTTAAATAGCTTTGGCTCCTCCTACGGAAGGGCTTGGCTTTTAACCTGCCTCACAGGTCCAAGACACCAGAGCTAAATCCTGGGCTCCCAAGTCTCCTTTAGTACAACCAAAAAAAGCTCAGGGTTTGTTTTCTGCTTTGGGTCTTGCTCCTAGTATGGCTGTAGCCAATTCTCCTAGTGGGGGATCAAATCCTATCCTTGACTCCCAGCCTAGTGGCTGTCTCTACCATTCTGCTTATAATAGGAAGTCCCACATTCCTGGAATGAGAACTCTGCCCTAAAGCCCCAGAAGGACCTACTTTCTCCTACATGACAACTGCCTACTTGCCTTCTGAATACCAGTGCCACTGTGAATTTAGGATCTGCTGCGATTGAGCCAAGAAGGCATCTGAGTCTGTAACCCCTTTGACTTTGTGCCTTGACCAGCGAGCTATAGCTCTGATTCAACCAATACAGTTGGGTCAGCCTTCTTAGTATCTTATTCATTGTCTAGAGCAAATGTTCTGACTCATTCCTAACATCTGCCTCCATGATGCCCTGATAAGCTACCATACTTCCCTAGTCCTAAAATACAACCACTAGAATTCTGATTATTTTTTTCTAAAGTATTTATTTTCTGAGACTAACACTAGGCCTTTGGTCACTTCAATTGATAAGAGTCATCTTCTTTACCCGTGATGGCAATATATGTTAAAGCATATATTGCTATTTTCTAAATTTATGCTAATATTTATGACACCTGTTAATATCCATCTACAGATCAACTAACTCGCTCCTTGATATCTCTGGAATAACAAATATTGATATGATCATGAAATCAGGAGATATAAGTTTGAATCCCAGCTCTGCCACTCCTTAGTTATATGTTCGTTAAATAAGATGTTTAAGTTACACCCTAGTTTTCTCATTCACAAAACTGGGATAGAGATAACAGCATACTAAAGAATGCTGTGGGGCACTAAATATAGTACCTGGTACACAATAAGCACCAAAAAGTTAGCAATCATTTTCAGTACCCACAGGGTTTATATATGTTTATTTGTGATGTACTCATATTAAGAGAAGGAAAATAGGATAAACTTATTATGGTTAACCAAAAGATGAAGGACAAGGATGGGTAACGGTTATGGGAGATGAACGGGATGAGAGAAAAGAGAGAAAAGGAAAAAGAAAGAAAATGGTAGATCAAATAAATGGCAAACAAAAAAGTTTATTAAGCAGAGAGTAGCATTCCATGAGCCTTTGCAAAGGGGGTCCACAGATTCCCTTTTGTTCTCTCTTGAGGGCAGGATCTTGAGAACAGCTTGGAGTCCCTGCTTTCCCAGTGTCTAGGAGAGTAAAGGGGCTATAGCACTCAGCCAATGCTGTGGCAGAAAGAGAAAGTCATGATCAATATGTTCCTTACTGAAACCTAAAATTTTCATAATCCTCTCTTGCCAAATCATTTTCAGCCCAAATTATTCTCACCCTGAAACAAAACAAACAAAACAAAACCTCTCTCCTCTATTTCCATTCTTCAAACCTTAGCTCACATGTAACCTCTAGAAACCTGCCCCATTTCTCTCAGATAGACTTTGATGCTCCCCTAACAATCTGGTATTTCTGTTTCCATCCCGCAAACCATATCATAATTGTTTCCACCCCCTTCCCAACCAGCCTAAGAGCTCCTTAAGGGCAAAGCCTTGACCTACTGGAGTTTGTATCTACAGGATCTAGCACATGTGGATGGGTGGAAGATGAGAAGCCACTGGATACTCCACACTGCTCCAGAATCATCAGGATGTTTCCTAACCATGTGGGGACATAGTTTGTCCTTTGAAAACCTGAGGAAAAGAGCATTAAGCTAAAAGTTAAGAGATCTAGATTTTACCCCTGGTTCTCACAAAAACTCTCGAGTCCCCAGACCAGTCACTTATTCTCCTGGTACCTTAATTTCCCAATTGGCAAAGTGAAGAAACTACCATTTGCCCCTCAAGTATCCTTCATTAGATATCTGTAATAAAAAATAAAAATATATACCAAAAATGAGGAAAAATTCTGAAATTAAAATTGTTATATAAGAGCAAATTATTTTTTAGTATTGCCTCTCAGCTTGAAACTTTTATAGCTATCTATTTTGCCAAAAATCATGCTGTGAAATAAATTGACTGTTTACTACTATAACTAAAAGAACTGTTGTTTTTTTCTAAAACCCCAAAGGCCCTGTAGTTTACATACCCAATGGGGGGGGGGAGCACAACAAGCAGAAAGCAGCAAAGATGAACAATCCAATTAATTCACATTTGCTCACACCATTGAGTACAGATTCCTTTGATAACAATATGCTTTTGTATTAACAAACCTGTAAGACAATTGGCCAGTATTCTTTGAGATGTTTATATTCTACATGTCAGCGATTCTTGATGACAGTCTGGATATTCTCTTCTTCTAGTTTGACCCTGTCACCAACCACCGTCACAGGTGGGCTAAAGCCCACAGAACAGCCCCCCTTCAGAATGGGAAGCTGTGAAATATTCTACCTAATGAGGCCTAAAATACATACCTAATGGGGCTGATTTTAATATAAAAAGCAATTGTCAGGAAGCCACCCTAAAGACTCTCATGAGCTCCACAGAAACCGAATGAATAAGGAACCCAGGGCCATCCTCTACATTTCAAATCTTCTGAAAGCTAAAACAGGCCCATGCCCACACCAAGGCAGCTGGGAACCCCTCTGTAGTCATTTCCCCTATACCACCTCCGTACCGGCAATTCAAAGGGTAGGGGTCTCCTTGGCAGTCCAGGTCTTTCTCTGTCTCCATGCCAATCTCTGCTCATTATAGAATGTTATCAACAAATAAAGGGCTCAGGATCTAATCTCTTAAAGGGACTCTGTGGCCCAGCCACAACTGTTAATGTTCGTATTTCTCACTACAGTATTATATCTTCCTGCCAACCAGATCTCACGAGCACCCAGGGGCCACAGCATTAAGTGTCAGGCTTCCAAGCTGCTTCTTTCTCTTTCCCTCCTGATTCACACAGTAGAGCCTTGTTACTCAGTGTGGTTCCCAAACCAGCAAGATCAACACTGCCTGGGAACTTGTTAGAAATGCACAATTTCAGGCACCACCTCAGATCTAATGGATGAGAATTTACATTTTAACAAAATTCCCAGGTGGATCATTCGCAGGTTCAAGACAAGCACAGTCTAGGATTGGCCCAGTTCTGATAAGGTATCCATCCTCATGCCCATCTTCTCAAAGACGGGAAACAACTGCTTTCAGGATTTCTCAGGTTTCAGGCAAATCTACCTCCTGAATACCAACTCCTCTCCAAACTCCTGAATGCTAAATGGCCTGTGGAGCCCCTCTATTTCCCTTTGTCCACCCAACTAGGAACCCCAGGTCTGCCCATTCCCACACAGGACAGTGATTGCTGTGCTTCCTGGTAAGGTACCTGGCTCACCTGCCAGGGTGGTGCCAGCTTCCTAAGCTAAAAGGACTCCAAAACTCCTCTGACCCGCACTAGCTTACAAGTCTTAGGCATTAGGTAAGGAAACCATCAGAGGCTTTTCTGTGACTAAGCTCTAAAATCATTTTTGAGTCCCCAGACAACATGCAAGATTAAGGGTCTGATACTATTTTCCTTTTGACTTGAAACATGCCACAGCCCACTCTAGCCCCTAGAGTACTTCTCTCCACAAGACTGGCCATTCAAGGCATGTAGACTGGCCCACCCCAGAGTATAAACACAGAGATCTTTTGTATTTTAAGAGGTTTGCTAGTGACTGGGAAATAACTTTTTATACTTTGAGGGAATCAGAAATAATATTTGGGGAGCATTACAGATTATGGCAGATAGGCTCTTTGATCAAGTTCCTGACTCTGGCCTCTGTGGACTTAGCTCCTATTCTTTTATTTAATTTCATTTATTTAATTTTATTTTATTATTTTATTTTATTTTAGCGTATTATGGGGGTACAAGTGTTAAGGTTACTTATATTGCCCATGTCCCCCTCCCCCCTTGAGTAAGAGCTTCAAGCATGTCCATCCCCCAAACGTTGCACTTCTTACTCCAGTTGGAAACCCTATTCTACTAAGTGAAGTCTCTCAAAGAATGGAAAAACAAGCACGATATGTACTGTACCAGCAAATTGGTATTAACGGATCAACACCTAAGTGGACATATAGGAGTAACATTTATTGGGTGTCGGGAGGGTGGAGGGGGGGAGGAAGGGACGGGTATTAACAACCACAAAC